GCACGAGCGAGCAGAACATCCCACTTGCTAGCCATGCTGGTCTCCAGCCCTTCTGGCGGATAAGGCGGAAGGAGAGCTCGGCGCTCAAATCTGATACATTGGCCTCTGCCTGGCCGGCAGGGTTCCCCACCTTTGTCACGGTAAACTTGAAGCTCCGGAGCCCGACTAAGCGTCGCATATTGAAGAGTGAGGTCGGAACTAGCATAGGCCTGGCAGTAAGGGTGCGTCGGGAACAAATGGAAATCCGAAGCCTCTTCCTCCGCCTTCTCATACGAATGTTCCCGCAGCATGAGGGCCCCTTGGTAGTTGGTAGGGAGGGGGCCCGCTCGACTACATGCCACGATCCCCTTTCTGGGCGATGTCTCGGGCAACAACTCCTGCAAATCCTAAGTGCTGGTTCCAAGGCCCCTCCAAGACGGCTTCCAGCTGGGCCGAGAAACCCAGCCTCTGATCTACAACGCAATAATCTAGCATGCGGTATCCGTTCGAGCAGGTCCAGGACGTTTTCGACGGCGTACTGATATCCCCGTCTACCCAAGACAGCCATATCATGGGATGGTTGAGCCTGGAAGGGGAAACGTAATCATCACCTGCAATAGTGTAGGGCATCTTACAGGCCTTCATGTGTGAAACAAATTCTCTGACGATGTCCTGATTGGACTGATTCATGCCCGCTCCAGAAATCAGGTAGACGCCAACCATGAGGAAGCTGATCCTACCCAGGTTGATGACTACGCTTGTCCAGCGAGCCCCCGAATTGAGAGGTTTGGCGCGGCCCTGGGCCCCCATGACCCGAGCGTGGAAGGAAAGGTGGGACCTGGCGGCTAACAGAATTCCCGCCTAACGTCCCTCTGCTGCACTGACTGCTGGACAGACGAATGTATTCCAACCTTTCTTCTTGAACTGCTTCCGAAACGGGTCCGTGCGTGCGCGAAGTGAGATGCGCCTCCGTCAAAATACAATCATCCGCAAGGAAGCGTGAATCTAGGATGCAATTCTTTGCTCGGACATTCCACGGACTACTGCTGGCAAAATCAAAGGTGATGTCCCCAGCAACTCCCGTCCCAGAACCCTTGGCCTGGGAGAAGGTGGGGTGCCCGAGCATCGTGGCGAGGCTCGGGTCATACTTCTCGGTGGTCGGCGATTGGTTAATCACGAAAAACCTCGTCATCGCCAGCACCATCAGCACGGTTCCAACCGCCTGCATCATTGCTGGTCGCCGCCGCTGCCGCTGGGCTGCGGCTGCGGCCCCTCGGGCGCGGCCCCTCCTCGGCTGCGGCGGCGGCTGCGCTGGCGGCGCCGCGGCGCGGGCTGGCGGCCCGCGGGGGTGGCCGCAGCGGTGGCCCCGCGGGCGTCGCCTTGCCAGGCGCTGGCGGCGGCGCCGCCTTGCCGCTGCCCCTCGCCGCCGCGGGCGCTCCCGCGGGCCCCATTGGCTGAGGGCGGGGCGCCGCCGGCGGCGGCGGCGGCGGCGGCGGCGGCCTTGGCTGCCCCCTGCGGGCCGACTGGGCCAGCCCTTGCCATGGGCACCTGCTGGCCGCACTTGGCGGCGAGCTGGGGGTGCTGCCCCATGAAGGCCTGCAGGGCCTGTTGATCCTGGGGCGAGAGGGCGTCGTCCTCGATGGCCACCACCTTCGTGCCGTCTGGGTTGACGGGCTCCGCCCACTGCTGCGACTTCTTGGCCGCCTCCTGCTTGGCGGCTTGCTCCTGAGAGGTGGCCACGTCCAGGTTCGCCTCGGCCTGGGCGAGCTGCTCCTTGAGCTGGTCCACCTTGGTCTGGCACTCCTCCTTGTACGTCGTGGCGCGTTGCATGGCTCTCTTGGCCAATCCGACATCTTGTGCAAGGGCAGGGACGGCGTCGGTCTCCTCCTGCGCCTCGGGCTGCAGGTCCGCGGCAAGGTACTGCGCCTTGAACCTCGCGAGCTGCGGTGGCCCGAGCAGTCCTTGGAGGGCCCCCAGGATCTCCTGCAACTGGGGATCGCTGTGTGCCGATTCACCACGGTCGACACCTCCGTCTGGCCCGTCTCCTTGCAATCAGTGGTTGCCGCACCTGCACAGCGGGTCCTTCCTCGCGCGCGACAGCCACGTCCACTCGCTACAAACGTCGCACACCACATACTGCTTGTTGGCTGCATCACGCGCTCCATCTCCATCCTTCCCATTTCCCGTCCAGCCGCTCCAGTTCTTGCCCCGTGCTCCATCGCGGCGGCGCCAAGCCATTCGCGCCGACTGAGCTGAGTGCGCTGGGGTCGACTGGCAGGCGATTGCCAGGCAAGCTGGAATGGCCCTCGCTGCTGGCCGCGCTTGAGCGAGTTTGGGGGGTCCAGGAGCAGGCCCCTTGAGCCAAAATGGCTACGGCGGCTCCTCCTCCTCCTCCCCCTCCGCCCTCCCTCCTCCTCCTCCTCCTCCTCCTCCTCCCTCCTCCTCCCCCTCCTCCTCCCCTCCTCCCCTCCTCCTCCCCCTCCTCTCCTCCTCCTCCTCCTCCTCCCTCCTCCCTCCTCCTCCTCCTCCTCCTCCTCCTCCCTCCTCCCTCCTCCCCGTCCTCCTCCTCCCGCGGCTCCTGCAGGCCCGCGGGGCAGGCCGAGGGCCGCGGGCCTCCGCCCTGGGGGGGGGGGAGCGGCGCCCGCCAGAAGCCCACGAGGGGCACCCGCCCGATCGGAGGCTCAAAGCTGGGCTCCCGAGGTCCAGTTGGGCACGTCCCTCTGCAGGAGCAACATGGCTACGGCGGTTCCTCCTCCTCCCCCTCCTCCCCCTCTTCCTCCTCCTCTCCTCCTCCTCCTCCTCCTCCTCCTCCCCCTCCTCCTCCTCCCCCTCCTCCTCCTCCCCGTCCTCCTCCCGCGGTTCCTGCAGGCCCGCGGGGTAGGCCGAGGGCCGCGGGCCGCCGCCCTGGGGGGGGAGGGAGCGGCGCCTGCCAGAAGCCCACAATGGGGCACCCGCCCGATCGGAGGTTCAAATCGGGGGTCGAAAATAGGGGGGTGATGACTAGGGGGGGTGGATATCATGGCGGGGGCCATGATTTTTCCTAAGATTTCATGGCGCCCCTTCTTATTTCATTACGTCCCTGGCCCCCCCGCTGGGCCGCGCACGTGCCGCCGGTCATGATTTGCACACACCCCTCTTGGACACCCCCCTCTTGGCCGCTCCCGATCAAAGCTGGGGTCCCGAGGTCAAGTCGGGCACGTCCCTCTGCAGGAGCAACATTCTCAAAAATAGTCAACAGGCAGGATGGGGCTCGGCGTCGCTCGGACGTGTGCAGTTTTCCTTCGGCGAGGACCATCGAGGAGCATCCTTGATCGTTTCGCGAAAAAGCCACGCGCGAAACCGAAAGAAACACGGGAAATGGACGTCCGAGCGATGGCCAGAGCTGGGGTCCCGAGGTCAAGTCGGGCACGTCCCTCTGCAGGAGCAACACTCTCAAAAAAAATAGTCCAAAGGCGGGCTGGGACGATGTTTCAGCTCTGTTCGGCCATCCGGGAGTGTTCTGATCATTGTTCCACTCTTCGTCCAAAACCCACCTGTAGGAGGACATGCGCGACCTTGTCGTAAGGACGAGGTGCCTCAGACAATCTCAATCCATGCTCGGACCCTTCCCTATACTCGGGGCCCCATCCCTCTCAGGGCCCAGTCTTTGAGCCACCGGCCCGAGAGGCCTCGGCGCAGCTCCTGGGCCTCGGATAGAGGTCGGCTTGGGGAGCAGGGGCGTCCTCGAGAGCGCGAAGTTCTGCGCGATTCGCTGTTCGGCTCCGGTTCCACTTCATCCTCCTCTTCTCCCCTGGGGGCGGCGCGAGAGCGCGAAGTTAGGCACCTTTGTGAATGGTACCCTAATGTTCTTCGTGCCCATGGAGGTTATTTGCGTCTGCGGCTGCACGCCAGAGGTTGCCATGCTTCGTGTTTTGTGTGCGTTGTCTCGCGGAGGTTTCCTTCTTTCCTTGGGATGTTTTCCTGCAGTTGCGCCTCGCCGAACGCGCTCCAGGGTTGCCCGGATCGTCCCGAACGCCCGAGTGCTGGCCGGAGTGATGGCCCGAAGTCCATGGAGGAATGACGTGGGCTACCATCCTGTGGTGTTTGGTCCTTGTTTTGGAGCGACGGGCAGCGCCCCGCGTTCCTCCTTCTCCTCCTCGCCTCTCCTCCCCATCCTCCCATCTCGGGAGCGGAAAAGAGGGGGGTGATGACTAGGGGGGGGGGATTTCATGGCGCGGGCCATGATTTTTCCTAAGATTTCATGGCGCCTCTTCTTATTTTATTGCGTCCCAGGCCCCCCCGCTGGGCCGCGCACATGCCGCCGGTCATGATTTGCACCCCCCCCTCTTGGACACCCCCCTCTTGGCCGCTCCCGACCATCCCTGGCTTTGCCCTCCGTACCCAGTGCAGCGCTTCGTGGCCCCATCGGGAGCTCCACCGAAGGCCCCAATGGCTGTGACCACATGCGTCCGCGCACGGGGACACAGCGCTTCGTGGCCTCCTAGGGAGCTCCATCAAAGTCGCCGGGGGTTGCATCCGCCGTGAATCTCCTTCGCTGCCCGAGGCTGTCAGCCCCCCCCCCTTGGAGACTGTTTTTTGTTGGGGTCCAGCGATCACTGGGGTTATCAGGCTTGCCCTCCCTTCGGGGAAACGCAAGACCCGAGTAAGCCGGAACTCGGGTTTGCCGACGTTTTTTTGACGAGCGCGTCCTGGATTTTGACGGTCCAGTTTTCGTGGGATGTTTGCAGCGGGAGTTCGCGTCAAATTTCAGATTGGGCCTCGTCATTTTTATGATGGCCCCGTCGGGCCAATCCGAGTCCCCCGTACCCGAGTCTTACGTCTCCCCGATCCCTCCCCCCCCCAAGGACAACCGAGTCTTGCCAGTTGTGCAGGTCCGGGGTGGGGGCGGCGCGGGCACATGCAGGGCTGCCCACAGCGCGAAGGTTAGGTTATCGGCCGGCCTCCTCCTCCCTCCCCCCGGATAACTAACCGGGGTCATCTTTGACTGAAAAAAAACGGTCTCTCTGCACCGCCCCGACAAGGGATACCGGCAGTGCACGGCCCAGTTGCTGCGGACCGGCGCCGACCCCGACGTCGCGAACCAAGGCCGAGGGCGCAGGGTGAAGTCGGGTCTGTCCCTCTGCAGGAGGAATACCCAAAAATAGTCAAAAGATAGTCTAGGGACGATGTTTCGATCCTTTGTGCCACAATTTGCTGTACATTGTTGGGGGTATGTTTTTTATTTCTCGCCCAAAGTCCGCCTGTAGGACGACATGCCCGACCTGAGCGTGGGGTCGGGGAGCCCGGCCGTGCCGGCGGGCGGAGGGAGGAGAGGATCAGCCACGTGCAGAGGGGCGTCGGGGGAGGGGGGAGGGCTTCCTAGAAGCTCGGGCAGGGCAGGGCTTCCTCCTCCTCCTCCTCCTCCTCCTCCTCCTCCCTCCTCCTCCTCCTCCTCCTCCTCCTCCTCCTCCTCCTCATCCTCCTCCTCTCGGGCCGAACGAAAGGGGGGGGATTGGGAAAGGGGGGGTTACGAAATCTGCTGCATGCAGCTGGTTTCGGCCTCACCGAGGGGCCCATGCCTCGATACATGGCCGCCTCCGGCGCTGGGAGGCGCCGGGAAGATCAGCTGCGTGAGCTGATTCTCAACCCCCCCCTTTGCTATCCCCCCCTGTCGCCCTGCCCGAGGAGCACCCCTGCTTCTGAGAAGGCGCTGGCCTCATCGGCAGATGTAAGGCCGGCGCCTCCTAAGTAGCAGCCTCCTTCTAAGAAGCCCCCCATGCATGGCCGACCCGGGGCTCCGGGAACGCTCCTGTCCAGGCCAACAGGCGGCATGCAAAATCAATGATTTGGGGCGCTCGGGGCTCTCTTGGAGAGCAACTTGGGGCGTTGTTGCGGCTTCTTGGGCTCTATGGGAGCCATCTTGAGCGTCCAGTGGCGATCTTTGAGCGCCCCGGGGCCGTCTAGGACCGGTTTGGCCCCCTCCACCCCCCGTGGTGCGCGCCGCCACTGGAAGGAGGAGGGGAGAGCATCCGCAGTGCCCGCCGGGCGGCCGCGCGCGTCGGGCTGCAGCGTCTCGTTCGTGGGGGGGGGGCTGGGACGCGAGGGGGCCCAATGCGCCGCCCAGGCGGCGGCGCGGGCGCGCGCACGTGGCTGTGCGCCCTCGGGGTTCGGCCCCCTTCGGAGGTGGAGAGACAGACAGTCAGAGCCCCGAATCATCAGGGGTAACTCGGGTCAGGGCTAACTCGGGTTGGGTTTTCGGGATTCCGAACCCGACTTACCCCGGACCCGACTTACCCCGGATAATTCGGGCGCCCAAGACAGATCGGGGGGCGGCAAAGAAAGGGGTGGTGATTCATTGCAGAGGAGGGAGAGTTGCCCATGCCTCCACCCTTCGCCCGTTGTCCCCTCTGTGGGCCTCCGGGGAGGCCCTCGTCGCCACTGTTGGATTCGCCTCGAGGTTTTGGTCAGAGCGCACCCTGGGAGAGGTCCGGGAAGTAGCGGTATCGGTGTTTGGTGGTTTCCCCATGTTTTGGGGGGATCTCACGGCGGGGGCCATGGCGTCTCCCGAGATTTCACGGCGTCTCTACTTACTTTGGCGCGTCCCCCGCCACATCTCCTCCCTGGGCCGCGCACGTGCCGCCGGCCATGATTTTGGCTCCCCGCCCCCCTCTTTGTTGCCCCTCCTCTCTCGGACGCCCCTCCGAGAGAGGCAGGACTTGCGTTAAGTGGGGCCTGTCCCTCTGCAGGAAGAATATTCAAAAATCGTTTCAGAAACAGTCTGGGGGGCGATTTTCATACATGTGTTTCGACTATGTTTGATTATTTGTTTGAATTTGTTCGTCCAACATCCGCCTGTAAGGGGACATGCCCGACCTAAGGCTGGGCTTTCAAGATGGCAGGGAAGGTCAGTTATGCATGCGCACGCGCACGCCAGCATTGAAATCTCGAGGAAGACCTCGGTGTCGTTGGCCAGGTGATGTTCAAACGTCCCTGTTGTCAAAAGGAGTCCTCGGGGAACGGGTGCATCTCGCAGGGAGATCGGGAAGCGTTTGAGCCCGACGCCGCACAGCGAGAGAGCGGCCTGTGAGGGCCGCGGCCCACGCCCCGCCCCGTGCGGGCCGCGCCCTGCCCCGGACACGGCGCTCCTCGCCCCGCCTCGCCTCGGGAGCCTCGAGACGGGGGTCAGTGCAAACGGGGGTCAGCCAGGGCACCAGATCTTGCAGGATCTTGCAAAGACCCCCTCTGGCTGACCCGGGTTAGCGAGCCGCTCGTGGCCGCGAGGCGGCCGCGCATGTTGGCCGACCCGGGTTTGCGAAGGCTTGCGTTGCAGTTTTGGTTTCCTGCATTGCAGTTTCTTGGTTTCTTGCTGACCCGGGTCTGGATTGACCCGGGTCAGAAGATCCCCGACTCGTTTCGTTGATGCCGCATTCTCTCCTTGTGCGCACACGCATTCACTATGAGGAACATCCTGGAGGCCTCGCGCGGCGCGTAATAGTAGTGTTATCTAGCTCACACGTCAGCCACGTAAGCCATGGATCGACGCTCGCGCGGCGATGCTCCGGCGCCAGTCCGACGCAAATCCGACGCAGTCCGACGTGGACCCGACGGAACTCCGACGTGGCTCCGGCGTGCATCTGGCCTCAGGCTACCGCTCGAGGCCTCCAGGGATGCCTCCGCAACGGACTACATACGATTTGTGTTGCTCTGCCGTCGCGGCTGTGGGCCATTCTGCTTCACTTGGCATCGCTCGGACGTGTGCATTTTTCCTTCGGCGAGGACCATCGAGGAGCATCCTTGATCATTTTGGGAAAAAAAACACGCACGAAACCGAACAAAGCACACGGAATGGACGTCCGAGCGATGGCGAGCATACGATTTGCTTTGCTCTGCCGTCGCGGCCGCGGGCCCTTCTGCTCCACGGTCGCCGCCGCGGGCCGGCAGCAGCCCTCGGGACCGAGTGCGGACTGCGCGGGTCGTGTGCAGCATCTGGGCACGACGCGGGGCACCTCGCACCACCTGGCGATGGCGGCACGCCCTCCGTCCCCGACGTTTTTTTTGTGCTCACGATTGTTCTGATGCATTGCTCGATTCACACCAGCCTCAGACCTATCCCTATCCCTAAGATTGACACGCCAAAAAGAGATGACAATCTTAGGAATGCACCCTCAGAGACTGAGGAAATCCCTAAGATCGCCATCGTGATGAGGCGATGCCCAACACAGGGATAGGGATATGTTCCAGGCTGGTAAGATTCCTCGAAGAACAAGAACACGTCATAGACATGGACTTCTTGCGCTCCGCTCGGATTTCTTGGGTCCGCGCTGGGGCCTCCCCGGCGTCCGCCTCTGGCCCGCTCCGCGCGCCACGTAGTGGCGGCCCGGCGCAGATCCAAGCTTTCCGCGCGGAGCGCCAACAGTTTATGTTTATGGCGTTTTTGTCCTAATCGCGTATTTTTCCTTGAGGTTAAATTCAGCATCGGCGATGGATCCATGATCGATAGCCAGCCGAATCTGGCAAACCTCTGGCGCGACGCCTCTTGGTCCCGCAAGTCTGCTTTAGCCCACTTCAAGGCCAGGCTCAATCTGGCTGCATCCGATCTCGTGGCCATTCGATCGGGCTTGATAACCCTAAATCGTTCTTGCGAAGACCTCCAAGACGATGCCCCCTGTCGTTGTGAGGTTGCTATTTCTGTCGCCAGTGCGAACCCACCTTTGGGAAGGTGCAAACGGCCTACTTCAGAATGAGGGTTCGGGAGGGCTGGAATGTAGAGGCGTGTAAGTCGCCCGCCAGGCCCAGATCATCGACGTCGAGGTTTTTACAATGGTTCCCCAGATTGTTGGGCCCCCTCCAGTGGCGGCCCCAAGGCCCCCATAAAAGCCGATATGACGACCAAAAGGAAAAAACACTAAAAGTTGCCATCGGTGCTTTTTTGTTCGCGGCGCCAGGATGGATATCAGGGCTGGGAGGGCTGGATTGCGGATGCGTTGGTGTGGCCCGCCCAGTGGCCCGGGGATCCATACAGGGCCGGAAGGGTCGGATCCCACAGGCTCCGTTTCCATGGGGAGCTTGCAGGACCAGAGCGGTGACGATTCTGCTCGGAGAGGGTGACGTAGTAGAGAAGGAGATGGAGTTGTACTACGGCAGCTTCAAGAAAAGGGCCAGGGCTCGGCTTCATCCGATGGCGGAGGGATGCAGCCGCCTGTGGTGACCGGGGGCGGGTATTTGCTTTAGCCCATCCGGCCCAGTACCCGACCAAGCACATTCCCCAGACGGAGTACCCCATCAAGTACCATCACAAGTAAGAGTAAGGCGCCATGAAGAGGCTTGGACAATTTAGAAGTTTCCACCATAAATATCAACGCATGGTCATCCTTTAAGAACCGAGTTTATGATGATAGGTTCCAGCAGGCCAGTGTTCTCCTCCTGCAGGAGACCCGCATCGAGTCAGCAGACCAGGTGCGAGAGGCAGTAGAGCACTGTGAAGCTATTAGGTGGAAAGCTGATTTTGGTTTGTCCAAACAGTTACCGTCGGGCAGGTAAGGAGGTGTTGCCATATTGGTTAGAGACGGCCTACACTTTGGCATAACACAGTTCTGCCAGTCAGCAGTAACACACCCACACAGGCTTCGTGCAGTCATTCTGGAGGTACCAGATTTTGGAGAGTTCGTCCTGGCAAGTGTTTATTTGGTGCACTCGGCAGGGTTTTCAGAAGCAAGCCTGAAGATACTCTCGGAGCTAGCTCAATTTCAAGATCAGTGCCAGCTTCCGATTCTCGCCGGGGGGGACTTCCAGATGAACCCTAACAAGTTTACGCAGAATGACTTTCTGAGTAGAGCCACCCTGCAGGTAATCTGCCCCAGAGATCACACTTGCTCGACATCGCGTTCGCAGACCAAGATAGACTAATATCTGGCCTCGCCTTCGATCGGTCTCATGATCGATTCAGTGCAGTCGTTGACGAACTATCCGTTGCCGCCGCCACATCACCCAGTCGTCCTTTGCAGCAAGATCAGCAGTAAGGAGAAGATGCCAATCTTTGTCAAGCCCAAGCAGCTTCCGATCCACAGGCCTTTCGGGCCCAGCCTCGAAGCGTCGGAGTGGGAAGACCTTCAGGCCACATTGGCACATGTGTCCAGAATTGTAGAGACAGGGATCTCCCAGGAAGCAGGCCAAGCAGCATTGGACGTAGCAGATGGGGCCCTAGTAAGGCACATGGAGACGCACATCTCGCAGGTCACAGATACTCCAAAGCAGAGGTCCACCACTCGAGGAGGACCACCAATAATAAAATGGATACCCTGAGAGGCTCTGCAACGGAAGACCCGAAAAAAGTTGGACGTCTCATGAAATGCCCCTGTATTGGGTGTTGCAGTGGCTGCAAACCGTCTTACGAATTTCACGAGGGGCCCAGGACTTACCTTTGGACGGCATGTATCTCGAGCTACTTGAATGCCCTTCAGAATTATGGGAGATCCCGGCGCTGATCGGGGTCATGCAACATGTCGGCCAGATGACCTCCGCAATGCTGACGGACCGCAGAGAGGGAATATTACCGGTGGAGCTGAGCATCAAGATCTTCACGGACCTGCACGACGATGTGAAGATAAGATTGGTTTTGACAGGGAGATGTACTTAGCTCAGCGGGGGGCCAGGAAGGCATGGAGAGGTTGGGTCAAAGAGGCCATGGGGATGGGGATAGGATGGGCCCATCGCTGGTCTAAGGTAAAAGGGTACTGGCGCCCCACCCAAGACACAGACCCCTTCCTGTCTGGCCGGCCCACGGAAATACTTCGGAGGGAGTGTGGGAGACTAGACTCCACGTGGGAGTCCCAGGACCCTCCTCCTCCTCCTCCTGCTCCTCCTCCTCCTCCTGCTCCTCCAAATGCTCCTCCTCCTCCTCCTGCTCCTCCTCCTCCTGCTCCTCCTCCTCGCCCCCAGCCGTGGTTCAGAGCGGATGTTTGGGACTCGGACCTCCCGCCAATCACGGGAGAGCAAGTCAGCAGGGCCTCTAACTAGGACTTTCTCGAAGAAAACCTTCCAAACACGGGACGGTTTTGATCCTCGGCATTACAGTTTGTTGACTCCCTCCCAGCTAGAATGCGTGGCAAGGCTATTGATGCTTATCGAAAAAGTTGGTGTTATGCCAAGTGTTATCTTAGCAAGTTACACTTCGTTGATCCCTAAGCACAAGCCCGAGCAGAAGGGAGTCAGCACCAGAGGGATTGGAATGCTACCGTCGTTGTACAGATTATGGGCACGAGTACGGCAGAGCAGTTGCAGAGAGTGGGAACGCAGGGAGCAGGACCCTCTCATGAGACATCAAGCGGGACGTTCTATAGTGGAAATCGTGTACATGCAGAGTCTGGAGGCCGAAGCAGCACTGTATAAGGACCACCCGCAGTACTCGGCGGCCTACCTCTGGGACCTATCTAGCTAGTACGAAGGGAAGCAGTTACGGTTTTCCCAGCATCTTATGGCAGTAGCCTTGAACCAGTACGGCGCTCAAAGAAAGTGCGATTTCCCCAAGCATGGAATCCCTGCAGGATGCGGTTTTGCGACTTATCTAATTCAGGTATATTATCTGCCTCCTCTAAGGATATGGGCAGCAAACTTTAGCAGAGTAAGGCTCACGATGTTCATTGACGACTTGTTCGTTCAGGCAGTGGCGAAGACCATGGAGAAGGTTACAGAGGCGTTAGCAGAATCAGCAGCAGCTCCTTGGGAAACCATTCGGACAGAACTCCGATGCAAGGCCGCAGATAGGAAATCGGACATTGTAGCCAACACGCCATTGCTCAGACAGATGGTCGTGACATCGTGTAGAACGTATGCCGGCCCGAAACCGACGAACGAGCTAGCAGCACCGAACCTAGGCATAGATTACACGAGTGCAGCGCTGAGGAGAAGGAAAGGCACAAGAGCGACTCTTCGATCCCGAATGGCCAACCTCAAGAATAGGAACAAGAAGTTCTATGCCCTTCGGAAGGCAGGTGCAGATATGAGAAAGATGTACGTCACAGGACTTCAGGCTTTTGGGTTCTACGGGGCAGAGACTCACGGCTTAGATATTTTGGAGTTCGATCAGGCTGAGTCGCATTTCCTTAGGGTTGCAGGCAGCCCGTCAAAGAGCAGATCCACGAGTTTTCCCTTGTACTTCTTAGATAACCCCCTGTGGAAGCAAGCAGTGGCCCCATGTCTGCAGTGGCCAAGTCTGGTATGGAAGAGCCACACGGATACACGGATGAGGAGGGAATGGCCCCTCCCAAAGTTGAGGGGGTTTGTGCAGGACATCTTAGCCAAGCTACCGAATAAGTGGGGACGGGTTCGGGGCCCTTTTGGAGTAGCAGCTCTGTCACTTCGCAGAGTGAGATGGTCCTTCTCCTCCCCGTTTGTTGTAACCAGCGACACGGGCCAGACGTGCAATCTTACGGACACCTCCCCTCAGATGATTCAGAAGTTTCTGAAAGAAAGTTGGGAAAGGAAGTGCTCCTTCGAAATTTGCCACAAGCTGGGAATACCTGACGACGAGACCCTGGATCCAGGCATTGCTCGACAAGTCCTACAAGATAAGGACATGACTCCCCGTCACAGAAAGCTCCTGCTAGCTTTTCTTTCCCACGCGGTATGGTCCAACAAGCGTTTGGCGGATCACGGTTATGAAGTGCACGATGTTGGGTGCCCATGTGGAGCTCCTGCAGACGATCTGCATCACCGGCTGATCCATTGCCTTTTGATTCGCCAACTTAGGGAGGAAATGTTGCCAGAGGATTTTGATTCCGTGTTTTCGATGCTTGACGCCTGCAAGGCATTAGTGTGCGGGCTGCAGCCCCACCCCAATTTCCAGGTAGCGCCCCTGGCGGGTTTAGGACACGAAACGTTTGAGTTTTGGTCTTCATATGATTTGAGTTATGAACAGGCCTTTACGGGCAAAGTTCATGTTGATGGCAGTTGTTTCAAAGCGCATCATAAGTGTTTTAATCGCGCAGGCTGGGGGATCTCGAAGATATCTCCTGCCGGCGAGCTTAGGGCACGAATGGTGGGCCAGGTAGGTCAGCAGCTGCCGCAAACATCTGGTGCAGGGGAACACTTAGCAGTGCTTGCAACAGTTTCACACCTCCCGCTAGTCACCGAGGCAGCGTCCGACTACGCGGGTGCAGTTTTTGTTATGCAGCAGTCTGTAAGTGCGTTTTGTTGCAAGGAGTCCTTCTATGCAAGAGTCAAGCTCAGAATCCGAGCTCATGCGCATAAGGACTTTCAAGAAAGCAAAGCAGAGGCACATCAGGACGAATCTTCGCTGACGCCTGTCTGCGCAGTGGATCAGCGCTGTAGGCAATAATCAAGCAGACGTGGCCGCAAAAATGGGGCAAATTTGCGCGCGGCCCGTAGCGCTGCTGAGCTAGAAATCCACAGTAACCAGGGCAAGGTTTTAAAGGCATATTTAAAGTATGTCCCGCGTGCTTTAGAATTGTGGCCAGCACTTGCCCCAAAGGGGAAGAAGAGCTATACGAGAGCAGGCGGCGGGGATCCTTCCAAGATGGGGAGGGTTGCTTTCGTGGCCGAGCTAATCGGCGATTTTCTTCCTGCCAGCCCGACTGGCCAATCCGTGGGGAGGGCAGGGCCGCTTACAGGGAGCGCAAGTAGCGCGAGCGCGCGTCCAGCACCATCTTGCGCTCCTCCCCTCCGCCCTCCACCTCCTCCCTTGGTGCCGGCAGGAGCCACTACCAGAGATGGAATTCTGATGCGTGCTTCTTCGGTTACGCAGGCGCCTCGGCCCGAGGTCGCCGGACAGGCGAAGAGCCACAACTGGAAATGGATTAAGCACACTTTGTGGGCCTGCCGCGTCTGTTACACCAGATGCAGGGCAGGGTACCCGCCTCAGACCACAGTGCGTTTAGGTTATAGCGCTGCTTTCAGCGCGATCGCTGCCAACCCGCGCAACCACAGAATCTATATAGCCAGTTACGATGAGGACCACCTCACATTTGTGTGCTCCTCTTGCGGGTGTCTCTGCCAGGGCCGGCGAGCGGTAGGACGAATGGAGCCTTGCAAAGAGAGGTTCACCAGCCCACATAACAAGTCCAACTGCGATAGGATGTTCCAGAGAACGCACCCCGACCCCTCTAAACGAGAGGCTAAGGTGCTGGACGAACTGCTCCCTCTGAGCAGTTTATTTTGAGAGATCCTAGGCAGACAGGAGATGGTGTGACGCAAGAGACTGGGCGTCGATTCTTCGTTTAGGATGCCACCCCGACGTTCCTCTGGAGGCGGCGCGCCAAATGTGCGCTCAGGTCGCCTATTCGCGGGGGAGGGGGAGGAAGGTGGAGGAGGGATCAATTCGAAGTGGGAGTCGTTCCGAGTCGGACCCCCAGCGGTTTCGAGCTGGCAGGTCGTGCGCAAGAGTCGCGCCAGAGCCAGCGTCACCCTTCAGGGAGAGGAGAGCCTCCCCAGCAGAGACATTAGACATGTTTCTGTTATGCATAGTTTGCAGGTGGACAAACTTTCGGCTGAAACGAAATCCGAACCCCGGGCTTGCGCGCAGGAGTCTGCAGGATCTTGCGGGGTCTTTCGTTCGGACCCGGATTTGGGGTGCAGGATCTTGCGGGGTCTTGCAGGATGCTGCAGAGCTTGACTGATCCAGGTCTGGTTTTGACCCGGGTCGTCGGATCCCCGATCTGCCGTGGAGCGCAGTCCGGGACCATGTGCGGGGGCATTTTGGCACCGCTCGGACGTGTGCATTCTTCCTTCGGCGAGGACAATCGAGGAGCATCATTGATCATTTGGCGAAAAAGCCGCCCACGAAACCGAAAGAAGCACAGGGAATGGACGTCCGAGCGATGGCGAGGCATGGGCTCTCCAGGGGGGGGGGGCGCCTCGACCCCCGACTCGCCCACTGGTCGCCAGCGGGGGCCCGATGCCGCCCGCCCCGCCCAGCGCCGTGCGCCTGCGCTCTCGCGGGCCAGCCGCGGGCCTCGAGCGGGGGCGCTGACACCAGCTCCTCCTGCAGTCGGGCCGCCTTCGGACCGCCTTTGGCCCTTCCGCCGGCTTCTCCCCGCCTTTCCGGAGCCTCCTCCCCATCCTCGCTCTCCTCGTCGCCCTCGCGGAGGGGCGGATCCGGTGCAAGTCTGGTCCGAATCCGGTCCCAAGTGTGTTCCAGGTCTATAGTCCAAATCAGGCTCAGATGGGACAGCGCCAGGGGCCACGCAGGCCCTCATGAAGCGGGCACCAAAGCCATGTATCGCCAGTCCCTGATCGATGCTTCGCCCCATGAGCATGCGGCCCCCTTACGTCCAGGCAGGCCTGTC